TGGGCTACTTTCTCTGGGAGTTTTGAAAAGTAAAGTGTACATGACTGCCCCACGCACGATTCAAGACCTTAAGGCATCGAAAATTTTGATGATGGCATGTCAACGGAGCCCCGGTGGACATATATGCGATGTTATATTCCATACACAAATGGCAAAGACCTACAATTTTCAACAAAGAGTTCGGTTTCTCACTCATAAAAAGTGTTTCATAGATTAAAAAAAGAAGTAACGGATGGAACACCCTGTATAAGCAGGTGCGACATTTCAGTGTGCTTAAACTTCACATCGTGCTGGTCTTTGACTTTAAAAAATGCTCCGTTACACCTTTTCCTAAATACGATATTACCTGTTGTCAGTAGTAAGACTTTTAAAAAGCCAGTTGATACTTTCTTCTTTTGCGGACCTTATGAAGATCTTTTGTTGTGCTGGTGCTCAAAGGTACGAGGGATGTCTTTTAAGTTTTGCATATAGAAACATAGTAGACCGCACGGATCGAACGTCAGTACTGAATCTTAACCTCACTCTTTAGTAAACTTAAATTCAAAGTTTCACAGCACTATAGTGAATTTTTAAGTGTCACCAATTCATTAGAAAAATTGAACTCAACCGAGAACATTTTCGCGCCATAATTTATTACAACTTTCAGAGACAATTATCGCAATAAGAATGCCTTGCTGAGTTACTGTCTGTTTTCGGCAACAAAGCGCCACATCAGTCGACAATTTCCCGTTGGTATTGAGAATTTAAACGTGGACGGGTGAGTCTTAGCGACGATCCCAGGGTGGGTGCACCAAAAACGGCAGTCACCCAGGAAAACGTCGATGCTGTGGGAAAACTCATCATTGAAGATAGACGTGTGACATATCGCGAGAGTGAGGCTTCCTTGAAGATCTCAAAGACCTCAATTAAAAAAATTTTACATGAAGAATTAGGAGTAAGAAAGTTAGTTTCTCGTTGGATACGCCACCTGTTGACTGAAGAGCAGAAAGCAGCCAGGGTTAATTGGTGTCAAAAAACGCTTGACCGTTTCAATTCCGGAAACTTAAAAAATGTGTACAGCATTGTTAGTGGTGACGAATTGTGGATTTACTGTTATGAACCAGAAAATAAACGACAGTCGGCTATTTGGATGTTCCAAGGTAAAGAAAAGCCAACAAAAGTCACCCGTTCTCGAAGTGTTTCGAAAAAGATGGTCGCGACATTTGTGTCAAAAGCGGGTCATATTGCAACAATTCCTCTTAATGAACAAAGAACTGTTACTGCGGATTGGTATACCACCATTTGTTTGCCAAAAGACAATGCAAGCTCGCACACAGGCCAAAAAACAAGGCAGTATTTGACGGAAGAAACCATGGAATTATTGAACCATCCTCCATATAGTCCCGATCTAAGTCCTAACGATTTCTTTACTTTCCCAAAAATTAAAAACAGACTGCGTGGTCAAAGGTTCCAGTCACCAGAAGAAGCAGTTGACGCATTCAAAAATGCCGTTTTGGATCTGCCAGCAAACGAGTGGAATAAGTGCTTCGAAAATTGGTTCGAGCGCATGCACATGTGTATTAATCTTCATGGAGAATACTTCGATAAACAATAAAGTCATTTAAAACTACCTACCGTGTTGTTTTATTTCCATATGCAAAACGTATATGTATACAAATTTTAAGAGAGGCGGTTCTTAGGTGACATACCCGACGCACTGTTGAACGCGGTTTATGGCGCCCCAGAGTAGTTTGTTTCCAAAATCATATACTTAAGTGATATTATTTCACACGTGCAGAAAATATCGTGATCTGGCGAAATTATAATTTTATGTGTTATTTAAACATTCAAAATGTCCATTATATGCAACATAATTAACATGTACTTACACTAATGCAGGAGAATTGAAAATGTTGAATGATCAAGGAAGTTAACCGACGTTACTGGCTTCTAACGACGTTAAAAGTGGGAATAGCGGCCAGTCAGGATAAAATGAGAAAGCTCACAGAAGCGATGCTTACTACTTTCTGCTGGAGCAGCAGTATTAATTTAGAATTTAACTGAAATGCGCATAAAGAGTATGGGTAACTGCTGGCTGGTGGAATAATTACAGGATAAAATAGTCTAGTCAATGATTAATGATTTGTACAATAAGGTATCCTTACGAAAACTATTGATACTCAGGTCTAACAAGGTCTAGTAAATGAATTTTTATACCCAGATGCCGAAGTTTTCTTGATAAAAATGACAGATTTGATCGTCTAGGGGGGCGCCGGCTTCGTCTAAATCTGTAAATCCGCCCTTCGGTGTGATTGAATCATAGAGTTAGAGTTATGTCTATCTCCGTTTGTACCATTATAAAATTAACCTTATGCAATAGTAAATTATTTGTTTGGGAGTTGGTACCCATTTATTAATCTCAGTATTGTTAATCTCTGCTATTTGTATTTTCGGGCAATGTGTCAATTTGAAACCTCTATTTTATATAATTCATGTGACATATGGTGCCTTTGGCTTACATATATATATATAAACAATGAAAAACAAAAATATTGCTTCTCTATAAACATTCAAAATACTTATATCTTAGGAGACGGCTGAAAAGGGATAGGAGATGTAGGATAAGATATTTTTACAAATTATTATTAATATTATTATATGGCAAACAGTGCATTGAAGGGGTATTGGAAAACATCTACAAACTTTCTTTTTTTTTGTGATGGGAGCAACATTTAAATAAACATCTTGATTTGATCTTGTACGTTTTTCATGCATTAAATGATTTTTGAGTCAGACGAAAAACGTTTTAGGTGGATATGGATCATGTATTTGAAGCAAATTTTGAATTGTTTTAATTGCTCTTTCCTTTTACGTGCTTTTAGGATTTTTGTTATTTTTACGTGGTAAATGAATCTATAACCAAATAAAGTCTACAACCAAAATTAAAAAAATAATGCTTGTTTTTTAAATAAATTTTTCAAACCGTAGAGGAACGTTTTTATTAGTTCAATTTGTATCTGATACAAGTTACAGGACTCTTCAATCCTATTGAGACGACTTTCAGATGTGAAATCTGAATTACTTTTCGACAAAAACACTTTCTGAATATGCAAAATATGTAAGCAGTCAAATATGATTGCAGTATGCATTCAGTCACAACGGCGTTCATAAACGTTAAGGTTAAATTATGATCCATTGACTTCTTATGACCTGAATGTCAGCGTTAACGTTTTCGTATGCGGCATAAGTTGCCTGCCTGCCTATTTTTTGAACGGGTCAAGGTTGGGATGATGAACTTGATGTATAGGTAGTGTATTTTACCTTGAAAGTGGCTGTTAAAAATTTCAATTGGTTGGGTCGAGTGCCACATAATGGAGGAGATAATGGTTCAAATCCCGCCAGTGCCGCTCTATCCTATCATGCTAAGAACACTAGACTCGTCTGTGGACGAGCAGATAAAAAGTACCGGTGCCACTAAAATATTCCAATTCTATCAGTTCCAAAGTAAAAATGATAAAAGTTCGAAACTTCCCCACGATCCAATATTTAATAATATCGCGGTGAATATTAAAAACGCCGCTTGGGCCAAAGCTCAAATCTTCTACAAAAAGTCAAGAGCGAGGTATTACTGAAAAGCGACTAGGAGCATTGCAGCAGGCACAGCGGGCAACTGATAATAAGCAATACAATTTCAACTTATCTTCCTCCTGCAAGGAGCAAATAAAAATTGTAAGATCTGGCACAATGAGCGTTCGGGATGAAAACTCGATTCATAAAAGTCTAATCAGTTCTATATCTCTGGATAGACGTCCTCGGATGTCTTTTCGTTTTAGTTTCTACACGTTATATTGGTATGGTACAGTCCGATTGAGCACGTACAACAAAATTTCTATGCTCATTAGTTCAAAAACTATAGCAGGTTTTATGGGATCTATCAAAGTAAAAGATTTGGCTCAATTATGATCTAACCAATTCCGTGTGCGGGAAATTGAAACTCTTGTAGCGCACCAAAAAATCATTTTTGTACAGTCGGTCAAAAAAGTATTGCTCGTAGTCACGCAGGCAAAGTTAACGTTTTCCAAGAACCGATGGCAAATAATTTTGTGGCTCTGGAGCCATAAATTGGTAAAACCGCTCACCACTGACTCTGGTCCGACTGACGATGAAATACTTCCATGTTGCGGCGTGCGAGCTGTCAAGTTCAAAATGATGTGAAAGTCAATTAAGCAAAATAAACAAATTTTCATCCGCCATTTTTATTCATAGAGTTAACTGGCAAAGATAACAATTAGGCAACACTGCAGTTTTGAAGAGGCCATCACAAAGTACGGATGTTAAAAAAATGTAAGTCGAAAAATGAAAGCACCATGTTTTCATAAGAAAAATCCTTTCACATCGCTAACTGTTGGAATAAAGATGGCGGAGAGGAGTGTCTGTCTCTTTTGGTACTTGATATATTTGTCCTGCTGTGTGTGCTCCATGCTCAAGCAAGCTGTGAAACGCGCGTAGCTTAAATAATCATTAGGTTTTCAATGATTTCCCAATTTTCTACGCATTTTTCGTGATTTTTCTTCCCGTAAGAACCTTCTATACAGCATTAGGAAATTAAACAAGAAAAGATGAATGAAATCGGTAAAGTCGTTCTCAAGTTATGGCGTGACCACCCGAAATAAGGATTAATTTTTATACTATATATGTATATAACCTTGTCAAAGTAGATTTCTAATTAGTGCAGGGAACGTAGCTCTGTTTTTGGTGTTTGTTTCATCTTGGATAATTTTATGAACAGGGAAATAGTATTAAGGTTGGCTATCTTCAGGTAGAATTCGTTAAGCAACGGTTCATTCAATTATTAGACTGTCAGTTAGACACCAGGTAACTAGATACTTTAAACTATTTATAAAATAAGCTGACAAACGTCATGATCGTGATGTAAATCGAATAGGTGTAAAATCGAATAGGTGTATAATGTACTATTAACAATATGTATATGGTATTCCATTTTTATCTATTGTATATTTTATTACAGTTATTATTAGAACATTTGGAATGCCTGGTGTCGCGGCACGAGCGATCACTGAGGATGACCGTGGTGAAACGTCAAGCTGCCGCACAATCGGGCGTCTCCAGCGAAGTGGAGGTGCTCAAGGCACTCAAAAGCCTTTTCGAACATCACAAGGCACTAGACGAAAAGGTATATTATGCTAAAATTAGATACGTCAAGCAAAAAGGAAAAATGATTAGAAAATAAGACATGATATCTATACACTTTTGTTATTGTATTCCACATACATATCGTTCTGATTATTCCTGGTTTATTTTATTCGCTATTTCAGTGCTATATGTTATTCATGAACGTTCACAAAAATGTATAATTTCCAGTTTGAGTATTAGTCTTTTTCTCGTATTCTAGCTGTCTCACCAGCAATACTCAATCTCTTTGTCAGATTTGCATATATACCACACTTGTTCACGGGCGTTTGTTATTCAAAATATTTCCCTCATGTATAAAAAATGCCATAAGAACTGTGATATTATCGCAAAATTACAGTGCAAATTTTCCGTTACCTAGACAACGGGAAATTTTCATAAGTAATATCATAAGGGCATCTAAATTTTCCGACAAAAATCGACTGGTCATCTTGACATGCATAAATATGGGAAATTTGGGAAACATTCTACCGAATTACACTCCTGCATCAAAATAAACCTGATCATTTTCCATTCAAGCAAAAACTTCCTTCGGAGTCGGGCTTTTTTGCCAAAATATGAAAATAAACTCATGCAATTTTTGGACAACACGCTTTCATGAAAAATTATTGGTAATTTTGATACACTTGCGATAACAGATTCATCGCTCATGCAAAATTTCCTTTTACCATAGTTATTCTTCACCCAAGCATGTCACTGTAAAATGCATTATGCTAAATAAGTACGCTCTTTCGATAATTTACTTAAATTTTTTTGGATTTCGTGAAAAAGAATAAGTTTTCCATCCAGTGGCGTATACAATGGGGGGCGGGGGTTAGAGCGTTACGTTCTGGGCAAGTTTGCCAATACTTGAGTGGACTGCTTATTTATTAATCTTAAAATTTGCAAAGAAGTAGGTAATTGTGATGTTTCAAGTTTGAGAATTGGGATGCTTTGGAATTGAAGGATACCGACCGTCCGTTTTAATGTTTTGTTGCAAATCTAAAACTGTGCTGTGCACCTTTCAGATAAGCAAAGCAAGTTTCGATTTTTTTCTTTCGGGCGGAAATTGTCATTCCTTCTAATATTATTTGTAACCTGCCACTTAGAAATAATTGAGGAAAAAATTCATCCCCAAAAACGTCTTATTGGAAATATAAAATATAATTTGTATTCTTACGTTATGTTGACAATTTACGATTTCGAAATAATCGCACATACACCCCCTTGATTTTTTTTGTCTATTCATGTTTTATTTAGCCTTTGCCTTGAAAAGTTTGACCTTGTCTGATCCAGCCCTTACCGCCCCTGACTGCGATAATTTAATTAAAACTACGACTAAAAAAATACAAGAGACTGCTTCCCATTATCTCCTAGTTTCATGATTGTCATTCTCTCAACTTACCTATTTTATTCCCAGGTACGAGAAAGACTGAGGGTAGCATTAGAAAGAAATTCAACATTAGAAGAAGAATTAGCATCAACCAAAGAAGAGGTAAGTAAAACCTTTTACTTAGATATACCTTTCTTAGCAAGAAAATGGTGTTTTCTAGTTTTGATAAATGAACATCCCTTCCTTTCTTATTTGAAAGCTATTTCATGAATTATTTGTTATTGCAGTTACAACAATACAAACAAGGGGTGATTTCGACTGTACCTGCCATAGAAGATAAGCCCAAAGAAAATGGACAAGTAGAATCAGGGGACCAAATAGCTAATGCTAATAATAAGGTAACTAAAAAGTGCTAAACGAAATAAAAAATTGCGTCAAGCAATGATTTGTATTTGTGATAATTATAATCGTCAGATGAATTCAGTGAAACTGATATTATCCTTTAAAAAATTTCTATGGATTACCTAACATATCAAAGGTTTCAATCATAACTGGCAATAATAAAAATCGATATTCTCCGTAAAGCTTTAATGGCTCATTTATTAACTCGTATTTAATAGAAATATAATAAGACTTTAGAAGTTCATGTTTCATTCGTTTAGTTTTAATTTTACTTGTCACCAGACATCAGCATCTGCGACAGCTATCAAGACGCGACTAACGAACGGAGGTACGGGGGGCTCCGATGGAACTTCAGACGCTGAAGCAGCTGCCAGGATAGCTGATTTACAACAGGCCTTAGAACAACAGGTTTGCAATTAAAAGAAGTTATTAAGTTGATTCAGATGTGAACAGGTTGGAGTTCGGCCATAGATATACGAGATCTCCAGGTCTTGAACCACTTTACTGTGAAAAATTTCAATCATACCAACCATCGTCTTTGTAGGTAGAATGCTAGGAAAAGCTTATATGGTTCTCTTGCCCACTAAGAGTCGAAAACATTCTTCAAATAGTATTATTGATCACTCTGTAATAATAGACCCTCTGAAGGCAATATTTTACTGCATTTACTAGCGGCAATGGAGTAGCCAGGAACAGACGGAAACTTGTTCAGTATGGCCTAGATGTAGTTTTATATATTGCTATCTGATTGCGAAACTTTCGGACTTCTACTTGATGTAATGAGTAATGTAAGCTCCTGCGACACGTCATCCATGCCCAATTTTTTAGCACTTCTGATGAGAAATCCTGTAAAGTGTATATATCTACACATTGCGTACAATATTGCCATAATATAGCCGAGATATATAGCCAGGCCAATGAGTCGTTATATCAAGAGAAAACGCTTCGTGAAATGTGTATAATCGGCCACCAAAAAAGATTGTTTCATTCGTTGAGGCAATGTTTTTGGATACATCTCTTATCTCTCTGTCGTTCTAATTTATTCGCCCTGTCTGTCTTCTCTTGATATAACCACTCTTTGACCGATCCATGTTCTGCAATGTAGTCATGATGGCAGTGCTTGCTATAGTTATCATACTTACAGCCAAATACTGCAATAATAATATTGCCCGTTTAAACTCTTCATAAGAAATGTTGTCCTTAATATTCCGTATTTGTCTTAACTCTTTCTCTTACCCCGTCATTTTCACCTCAAGACTAGCGAAATCAGTACGTGGCAACGTCGCGTGGCCGAGATGCAAACCCGAGTCGGCGAACTAGAAGAGAACTTAGCCAAAGCTCAGAAGGAACTCCTCAAATCTCAGGACGTCAACTCGAAGCTTCAACGAGACTTGAGAGAGAACGTAGCTCAGAAAGAAGATCAGGAAGAGAGGATAGCCACGTTAGAGAAGAGATATCTCAACGCTCAGAGGGAGTCAACGTCGTTGCACGATCTCAATGAGAAGTTAGAGCAAGAGCTGCAACATAAAGAAGCTCAGATTAAGGTAACAAATTGTCAATGCACGTAGCAAAAAAGCTTAAGGAGCTAGGGTGTTGTAAGCCCTTTTTCCCTAATAGAAAAGAAGTATAACATATTGAGGACCATTTAAAGTTTTGTGTCGAGCTAACTTCGCTGATGAACTAACATGATGGCGTTATTGTTGTTGTTGAAGATTTATTTAGCATTAATGCTACAATGTCAATTTTGTATAATGTTTTGGTTACATATTTTTCTTCAATCCATTTTCTGTAATTTTATATTATTGTCTATTAAAACTCCATCACTATGCATTTTGATTATTCATAAAATTGATTTTTTAATTTCACCTTAAACATTTTTAAATTTAAACACTGTTTAATATCATTATTCAATTTATAAAATTCAAATATGTACTCCCTTTTGAAATATAGATTTGCTAGTTATGCTACTATTACAATTTTGCAGATGAAAATCTATTCTGCCTCTAGTTTCGTAGTTATGATGACTATTTAATTTTGTGAAGTTTTTTAAATGTGGTGCTGATAAATGATTTTTAAATTTTTTGAATATGAAAACGAGAACTAAATAATATATGATATTTTTCACATTCAACCACTGCAGTTCTAACATAGACTTAATCCTAGCATATTGGTCTTTATTTAAAGTGATTCTCATAGCTTTATTTTGTAGAATTTCTTTGTAATTTTGAAAATATGTTTTCATTTGCTGTAAACAAGATGGTTGAACAATATAAAAAACGGGGAAGAATTATTGTGTTATACAGAATTGTTTTGGAACACATAAGATTACTCTATAGAAGTAATTTATATTTTTCGATATTTACTAAAAATACTGTTACAATATATTTTTTCTCATCTATACCATTTATATATAGCGTCCAAAATCTGTGGCAACATTTGAGCTGTACATGAGCAAACGCACTATGGTAAATTTTTATAATCTTAATATTAATATTTATAAATAAATAAATATTAATAAATATTTTATATATCGTATTTTGTCACATTGGATCAATTTCTTGCTCTCATAGAAGCGTCTGGGAAAATGTCTGATGTGAGAAAACCAGCAAGAAAGCAAGCAAAAAATCCTGATTAATGACGTCTCTCTTCAATTTATCATTTCCTTGTTTCTAGCTGCACGAAGAAAAGATAGCGGCGATCCAAGAGAAGCTGGAGTTGACCGAGCAGAAGCTGACTCAAGCCTCGAAGTTACCAGAAATTGAAGAGCAGCTGAAGCAGCGGATGGAAGCGCTGACTCAGGTGAGACCCCAGGTACGAGGCTCTCAGCTCACTTTGATGTATTTTTTCTATATGTATAGAAAATGTCATAAGATTCTCGTTTTAGATGTTACTGTAGTATGGTGGGGTGCTCTACTTTTAGTCGCCTAGTGCAAATTATATCATATACCTATTTCTGTAATTTTCACATTATATGAATGTCGTCTTTAATTTTTTATTCTGGGAGAAGCCAGGAAAAAATAATATTGTACAAAAATCGAGGCTTAACAATGAATAATATCGTGCAATTAGCGTACCCAATTAAATTTTGTAACTTACTTACTTCCAGCTACATTTTACCAACGTGTATGAAATATGCCTTGGGGTAGTTAAGATTGATATTTTTATACAGGGTGTTTCATTTGGAGAGTGAGATATTTTTATCAGTCACTGTGGTGGTTATAAATAATATATAATTATTTGATAGGTGTTTAGCCTCTTACAACCGAGACACATATAGATGTTACGGCTAAAACAGGAAATGCGGTGGCAACTCGGTTTAGCCGGTTAGAACTGGGTGTAGTTACTTGCAGTTGGTTAGTCTTAGGTGTAACCTATACATTCATAGCCAAACCTAGTATTAGCCGGATGCATTCGGTTAAAACTCTATCCAACCAACCTGATTCCGGCTACAGCTAGTCAGTAATTAGATGTAAGCGTCACAAACCAACTGCCAGTGGCTACACCTAGTTCTAACCGGCTAAACCTAGTCGTCTCCGCATTTCTTGTTTTAGCCGTAACATGTATATATGTATCTCGGTTGTAAGAGGCTATATATATATATAGTACTCATAATTAAATTGCCTTAACTCGCTAGGAGAAAGTATCCTTGAATTTCTTTAGGATCAAGGCAAAGTTTTGCACAAGTAGACTCTTTTAACTTAAACTCAAGTTTTCGATGATCTATGCCATCATCATCAGGACCTGAAAACAAAATTTGGAAATTGCAACAGTAATTCGTAACTGAACCTCATCAATATAGATTTTTGTTCGTTGTGTATGTGTTCTCGTCTACTTTCGTCTAAGAACAATTTCTGCAACAATCTTGCCGACTTAGTAAGTATATATTTCACCTAATTACTTATTGTTACTGTTTCCAAATATTGTTTTTAGCTCCTGATGATAATCCTTGATGACCACTTGACGTGGTACTTCAAGCCCAAACGATCTACAAAAAAGTTATATACCTTTCTCCGCATGACCCTTCCTTTTTTTACATATATATCGATTGTTGCAATTTCTTTATCGCTTCACAACTTTCCAACTACCCCGTATATTCTCTTGAAACTTAGTACCTGTACTCAGTGAATCTCATTGAGTGGTTGAACTGTTGTTATGCTATGAAGAAATTACCAGAAACGACAAGAAACGACATTTCAGTTATAAGAGGCTAAAGACTGATCAACCACAGGCTATATACAGACATCTCGATTGACCCTAACTACGGTTAGAATATCTCCATCTTAAACACCCTGTATATGTTATAATTTTAAAATGGTCAAAAATAGAATAGTCTGATGATTCCTCTAATATTTAGATGTATCAAAGGTATACTCGTTATAAGTTTTTAACTCTCAAAATTCTTAACTCGAGTAGAAAATCCCACCTTAGTTGTCATGTTACTCGCACCAAATATTATTTCAATACATAATTCAACTTGACATTCTTGGTCTATTAAAAATATCGAACACATGATAGTAACTAATATGAAATCACCACTATTCTGCATGTATCTTAATATGTTATGTGTTTCTTATCTAGCATCATACTTTTAGCCTAGATGTGAATTAGAACAACAAACAAGCTGTTACTTACTTTTAGAACTTTGTGACAAGCAGCCGTACTACATTATTATTTATGTGATAAATTGCAGAACTGGTCTGCAATACCACATAAATAATTATGCCACAAAATTAAATCCATAGAGACAATTCCGCACATATACACTATATCATTTCACTACTTGAAAAATACTATTGCTTTCATTGTATAGACAAAGTGAGCCTGGAGCTTTTTGCACATATCATTCCATTTTCCGGATTCACTACTTTTGCTTGCTCTCATCTATATGTATAACACTTGCCTGTAGAGTTTTTTCAACCAACTGTCACTATTAGCTAACCTTTTGCATTATGAATTTCATAATTACAACACAATGTTGATTGCACACATAGTTTGATGTTGGTTCAAAAAGCAACTTACGAGTATATTTATTTGTATCATGAGCATTATGCATTTTCTAGGAAGGATGATCCCAATGTAGATATAACTGTTAAGACTTACAATAATTTTAAGTGAAGTATAAGAAAAACGTGCCAAATATATTTTATCATGGTGCATCTCGCGCAATTCTTAACTTTTCGCATCCTTGTGCAATGCTATCCACAACATCTCATCCACAATTTCATCAAATCCTGTCCGTTTACGATAACCCGTTGATGACTACAGGCAACTGCTTTCAGCTGTGGATATTCAGTAAATTTGGAAAATTTTGCAGTCAGTTATTTCTTTGCATATAAATGGTATTGCATGATTTATAAACGGAAAACTAGTATTGCTTTCCAAAAGTAAAATTAGTTTTTCAGATAGGTCAAGCTATCCGGAAGCAGTGCGATCCGCCACCATTTGAGGTGCTCCTCAAGACGTATATTTCGGCACTAATTTTGGAAATAGCTGTTAACCACAGTACAGACAGTTTTTCTTTTTTTGAACTAAGCTGCCTAAAAATATTAATTTTACCATCAATAAAAGGTATGTAATGCCCTAAGTAAAATCGGTGAAGGTCCTAAATTTCTAGCATCTATCATTATACTAATTCAGTCAAATAATCTGATGACTTTGTTCTAATCTCCAAAGCGTTGCTGTTATCTGTTGCAGGCCCAGGAACGTCACGGTTCCGCAGAAGATCGCATACAACGGCTGGAAGCAAACCTGGACGAGAAGAATGCAGAGCTGATCAGGTTGAATCAAAGGCTGAAAATGAACGAAGATCACAACTCACGGTTGTCAGCCACGGTTGACAAGTTGCTGTCAGAGTCCAATGATCGGTTGCAGGATCACCTTAAAGAGAGAATGCATGCATTACAGGTAAGTATTCCAACATATCCTCAAACCTTTTGCTACAACTTCATTACGGGTGTTCTACAGGGCTCGGCGATAGCCTAGTGCAGATCCCTCTTGATTTTTCTTGGGCCAGAAGTGAAACACAATGCATTCTACGCTGTCCCCTGTCTGTTGGAAGAATTTTCAGTAGCTGGAGACAAATTAATTCATGGTGGCCGATATGTAACTGACTGGTTTTTATCTTGAATATTTGTAGAATGAAATAAAATACGTCCATTTTTTTCATCTTAATATTTTATTGAAACTTAGGAAAAATAATATCAGTCAAATGTCCGCCTCTAGAAGCCGCGCAAACCTGAGTCCTCTTGATTACATCTTCCTTCACTTGTTGGTAGGTTTCGGGGGGAATATTTTCAATTGCTTCCGTAATATTGTTCTTCAGCTGCTCTGCAGTATTCGGTTAGTTGGCATATTTCAAAAGTCCTCATAAAAAAGTCAGGAACCGTTAAATCCGGTGACCTTGATGACTAGTTGACTTCACTAAATTGTGAAATTAAACGTTCCGGAAATATTGTTTCCAAAAGATTCATTGTTTCCCTTTCTTTGTGACAAATTGCTCCGTCCTGCATGAACCACATATTTTGCAGCTAAATTGTTGGATTTGAGAAGCCACAAAGTTTTGCACCATATCGTGGCGCTCGGTAGTGACAGTAAGAAAATTACCTGCAGCGTCTCCAAAGAAGTAAGGTCCAATGACACCTCCATACCAAACACCGCACTAAACTGTGACTCGACGAGGATGTAGTGGTCGCTAATAGATGACACGAGGGTTCTCTCCGGCCCAGATATGACAATTCTGCTTATTAACAAAATCCATTCATATCGAAGTGGGCTTCATCGCTCGTTTGAGTTCGGTAAAAATCGTTATTTTGGGTATTAAGCTGCAATATTGCATAACCTTATTGTCGGCGATTTTCATGATCACTATTTTGTATGTCCGCAAATGCAAGTCTTTTTAAATAGTGCATAATGACGTGCGACGAATACCCAGTTCTTGAGAACGATGTCTGGTAGATGTCTCAAGGCGCTCCACTACACTTTCACGAACTCTCTCTATATTTTCCGGAGTACGACATTTCGAACACAGCCCGACCTTGGCAAACCTTTAACTTCACCTGTTTGTTCAAATTTCCGCACCAACTGGCGAATGGTGTTGACACTGGGTACATTACGAAATCTTGTCGTAGCTTCCGAATCGTTGCAACAACCGACTCATTATTTAAGTAAAACGTTTTAACAATAAGGACGCGTTGTGGGATCGTGTAGTGCTCCATGATGAATTGGGCACGTGTGCTTTTAACAGCTACTACCTGCTGAAATGCGTGTTTCAAAAATGGCGCGCAATTTAAATCAGTCAGTTATATATTAGCCACCCTGTATATGTACTTCATGCTTTCTCTGTAGAATATTTATGCTTTGCAGTTCGATAAAGTATTTTGATCCGCAGGAGAAAAACAACCTCACTCAAGAGCTGGAGAAAACGAGGAAGATGATGGAAGAACTAGATAACCAGAAAACTGAAATCATGAAAGAATTGGCGAAATCTAGGTTAGAAATTGATAATGTGAAGAGGCAGATGTTACAACAGGAAATCGCGTATAATATTCAGCAAACGGATGCACTCACTAGGTAAACAAATTTATTGACTATTATGCTGTTGCTGTTGATGCCAAATGGCGAATCCTTATGTCACGATTTTTGCAAAAATTCATAGTGCGTACTAGCTATCAGTGGCTTGCATATTCTCTTTGATAATGCCACTCTGCTACAGAGATATCATCCGCTTTTCTGACCTTATCGAACCCTTTCTGTCTCATGGTCAGCCGGCAGCATATACTTCTCGCACAACAAATTCACCCATACCAAAGTCAGTTGTCAAACAGATCTAAACTTGTACAGAAAAAGTCAAACGTGATCTTCATACTTATATTCCGTCGGTCACGTCTTCACCTAAACTGAACAACATATACAGGGTGGGGCATCATAACTTCATTTTTGCAAAATTTTATAAAACCCATAAAGGTATGAATCACGATATTCTTATTTGTTTTGTATGTCTAAAGTTTTGAGCAACATAGTTTTGAAGATCAAATCAGATTCTCCATACACACTGAGTAAACCAATTTCTGGCGTTTATCATGGCTCTTGTCAGCATAGCAGTTGGTAGGCAATTTCTTCCTCCTGGTCTTCAAATCTGGAAAACAATTACAAGGGGCCGATTTGGGAGTGGGTCGGCAACTGCAAATCATCCCTAATTGACATGAGGTGCTCTGGGAAGTGTTCCCTCAAAACAACCATCAATACATGCATCGTCTTGTTGGAACCAAATATCCCCAAGTTCAACTCATCCTGCCGTTATAAAAAAATTCTGTAACGTGTTTACATAGCTATTCGAATCTGCTGTCACTGCAACTTCATTTTCCTCAAAGAACCTGGGATCAATTCCAGCTGAGGAAATTGCACACCACAATGCGACTTCAGGTGAATGCAAAGGCCTTTGATGCAATTTTCGGGGATTGGAGTCAGTCCAGCTCTCACTGCTTCAATGTTTTCATGTGATCTAATGGGTAGAGGAACTCCAGTTTTTCGTCGTGTCACACTTGTAGTTTGTCTGAACATAGCGACCCACGTATCTATTGATTTCCGGTCCGGACAGGGGCCAAGGTGGCTAAATCAAAGCGATTCCGAAGGACGAGCGGAACTGAACTTGGTCGGGACAAAACTTTATAAAACTTTATAGTCCCGCCTCTTGAACGAGACCACAAGCGCTCCGCTACGATACCAACCGACTGACTGGTAACCATTTTAAAAAAATAGGTTTTACTGCGGCACCCTGTAGTATATCCGACGAGTCTGCAACCCACTAACTATGCTATAGTCTAATCATATTATCAAATTTCCCCGCAATAATTGTAAAGTCGGGGTGCAACTTGTTCAAGAGGGTATTTAAAACATGAACGCGCTAAAACTTTTTATTTGACAACAAAGAATGAGAAAACGTGTTTTGTGATTCAATCGGAAGTGTTGACAGGAACGAAACAACTTTTCATCCAAGATTTTTAGGTATTTATGAGACCTACAAAATGAGACCACATGTAAAAAGAGCTGACTAATAGCAAAAATGTTATGGCCGAAAAACGAGGCAAAATGCAGGTTTTGGCACTAGGTGGTAATGCGACGATCATTTCACGCAACTACTTGAAATTTTTTAAATCCAGGGGATTCATACTTCTAAATAACAACAACAAAATTGGAGTATATTGGTCAAGTAGTTTATCAGAAAACACCTGTTTTCCGGTCATCACTACTAGTTTATTGAGCAATATACAGGGTTCGTTCAAAGAGCATTTAATAGCAAAATACACGTGCTTACCTTGCCGATATGAATCACAAATGTTTCCGAAAGATAAATGTTGTATTTATGCGAAAAACAAAGGAGACGTTTTTTTCTTGTAAACAATTTCAAACATTTCGTATTTGTGAGTATTTGAACAAATATTCGGAAAACATACGTTACTATACATATTTTAAAACAAATCGGATATGTCTATCATCTTTTTTTGCGAATTACAAATGCGAAATGTTTGAATTTGTTTAGAAGAAAAAACGTAAACCATCCTTTTTTGCATAAAAATAACATTTATCTTCCGGAATGGTTTGCGATTCATATCGGCGAGGTAAATTAGTGTATTTTGTTATAAAATGCCTTTTGCACTAACCCTGTATATTACTCAACAAACTAGTAGTGATGGCCGGAAAACAGATGTTTTGGAATAAACAATTAGAACGTCTCAAAAGCTACTTGACCAACCTACGCCAATTTTGCTGTAGTTATTTACAAGCATGAATCCTACGAATTTGAAGAATTTCAAATATCTGCGAGAAACCACCGGTCGCATTGCCAACAAGTGCCAAAACCTGCAGTTTGCTTCGGTTCTCGGTCATAACTTTTTTGCTATTAGTCGGATGTTTTTACGTTGGTCTCATTTTGTAGGTCTCATAAATACCTAAAAATCTTATATAAAGAGTTTTGTCGTGCCTACCAACACTTTCGATTGAATCACAAAAAACACGTCTTCTAATTCTTTGTCGAATAAAAAGTTTTCCCGCAAAAATTGGTGTACCCATTTTATGCGTCCATGTTTTGAACAACTTGCAGCAATAAACCAAACTTTACTATTATTTCGCAAACCAGGGGTATTTTCGTCTAATACGATTAGACTACTAGTGAAAGGCGGATGGCAGTAGTTGAGACAAAAATGTGTGTGTGGCAAAAAACGTAACTTTGGTTGAACCTAGAATTGCACGATTTGATTATTATCACAGTGCGAGCCGCGGTCTTGTGTGCTTGCGAACTTGCTCGACTGTGTAGTCTACTGACTCACGCAACAGAGGGTTGCTGTGCGATTCCGCTTGACTATAACGTAACTGCGCCTGATGTTTGATGTAGTCCCTTAGGTAAGGGATGTCGAGGTAGTGATGGTTGGCTAGGTTCTGTTCTGCAGACCTGGATATTACGCATATGCGTTTTGGCAAGAAAGCACCATGCTGCACATGCGTAAGTGATTGCTGGTCTGGATCTTGTATAGCCGAACTTTGATAACCAAACTTAATTTTGAGATTCTACACAGCATAGGGCAGAGGTGCCGAAACGTAATTTGGAATTTAGTTTTTAACGCTTCAGTGTGATTCTGCCAGGTCAGCCCCCTGTTAAGAGTGACACCGAGATACTGAGCAGAATTTTCCCATGGTATGCGAGCTCCATTCACTGAAACCACAGGTGGGGCGCCGCTACGTTTTTTAGTACAATAGATAGCCTGCGTTTTCGAGAAATTGATTTTGATTAGCCACCGATCTGCCCATTCCAATACCTCATCCACCGCACTTTGTAACCTGTCGTGAACCAGATTCCCGGAACGCGACTGGGCCAACAGTGCAGTGTCATCAGCATATAGATAGACTTCACAGTCGCTAAGGCAAGGGACATCATGTGTGAAAAGTGAGTAAAGGATTGGCCCTAGAACCGAACCCTGAGGGACGCCGGCTCTGATGGGCCGTACTCTCAACAAGACATTATTAATTTTGATCCGAAATTTCCTTCCTTCAAGGAAGGATTTCAAAAGTTATAGGAGCCAAAATGGAAAGTCCTGTTTGAATTAGTTTATAGAGCTGGCCCTTGTGCCACACCTTGTCAAATGCCTTCGAGACATCCAGAAGCAAGATGCCAGTACCTTCGTTAAGGGCGAAGCCCCTGGTTACTCGCTCCACAAGCCTAACCGCCTGTAACTCCGTACTATGCTCAGACCGAAAACCAAATTGCACGTCAGGAATCACATGGTGATCTGACGAGCAATTCGCAAGGTGACGTAGCGAGCTTAGGGGGGGCAGTAGGTTAATAGGACGATAGTCCTGGGGAAATATCGAACCCACCTTCTTTGGAATCATTATAGCTTCCGCAGTCTTCCACGCCAATGGAAAGTACTGGGTCCTCAGCATGGCATCGATAATAGCCAAGAGATAAGTCAGCTTCAGCGCCTTATTAGTGATTCGATCCTCCCCAGGCGCTTTACGCACCTTGAGGTCTTTAATATGACCTTGAAGCTCTTCTGGTGTGCAATGCGGGATCTCGGGAGAAGGCGCTGATGATGTGCAACTCATCAGCTGAAGAATCTTCCGAAAAAGAATCTTCTGAGGAAGAATCGCTAATGGTGGCGCCGGGATCACTGACGGCGTTGGACCTGAAATATCTCCTGACGGTTGTTACAATTTGTTGCTCCTCGTCGAGGTCGTTCTCAAGATCATAGTTGGAAGAGAACTGTCGTTCATAGCAACAGCGAAAACCTCGACCTTGTCCTATGTCCTGAAGTCTATGCCCCCAGGACCGCGTGGATGTGCGGGGGTACTTGAGTCAAGCATTCCCGCCAGAAAGCCGTTCCATTGCTCATTGCGGATTTCATGGAGAGCATTTCTTACTTCATGACCAAGATTCGTCGCTCTGCGAATGTCATCAGGATGAAAAGACCTTTTCGCTGGCTTAATTGTAGCCCTGTTGTCAGAAATGTTCTGACAAATGTCCGCAGGGAGAAAAGATTTGCCGTGTTGTTGTACAGAAAGTACAGCTGCACGCCGCAGAGCTTGCTGAACGAAGCTTGTCCGCTCCTCTTGAGCCGCATCTATACTGTTCTGACCATCTATGATCGGGATATTGGGGAACTTTTTAAGGAACAACTTAGTTCCCAATCAACCTGTTCCCTCTGCCAAGGTTTGCTCATTACCCACTTCCAGTACAACAGGCAGATGATCGCTAGAAATGTCATACATGATTCGAGAAGTGATACTGTATCTACAGTTTCTGGATATTGCAAAGTCGATGACAGCTGGTGCCTGAAGGTGATTGAATGGGTGGTGCGTGGGCTCTTCAGTACTGTGTGAGGTAGTCGTTTCGTATCACATGGTTGTACAGTCGAGTCCCACTGGTGGAATTCAACCTAGAATGCCATGCTCTGTGTTTGCAGTTGAAGTCCCGTGCTACAATAAGCGGACCAGAGTACTCCATAAGGCATTCCAGGTCCGCCTCCTGCAGCCTGGCACCACATTTGACATACACCGATGTGATCTTCAACGGGACA